TAGCCTCTAAGATTGTCTGATCAGTTTAACTTCGGGGCTGATTGCAGGAGACAGCTGCATTTGAGGATGGAGGTACAGTCAGAAAGCTGGAAGTTCCAGGCTCTGAGTGATGTTGACCTATGATAACAGGAAGCCAATCTCCCCTACTTTTCCCTTTTCATTTCTGACCTAGCAGGGATGTGGGAATTTTGATAGTTAACTGATATGGAATAACCAGCATCCCAGAGATGTAGGTGGAGTTGAGTGAAGCCATATTTGCTCCGGGTCAGCAAACATGGCCAAATGCTCACTACATGTAAGGCACTGTGTATGTTCAGGCCTTTGAGTAGGACACTTACCTAAGTAAGTAGCCTCATCACCCACTTAGCAGTTGACCTTGGGAAATAGACCTCCTCTAAATATAATGGAGGCAACAACTTTTAAACAACTCAGTGCCCCAGTAAGTCTACTGTGGGGACTCTCCTAACTGAACATGACACCAGAGAAAGAGGTCTCATATTCTCACTGAAGCCCAGAAGCACAGAAACCACACATGGTTGCGACCGTCAGCAAACACGTGTGTTTCACCAGGAATCTCTTTCCTGAATCTGCATTTAGAACCCAGCAGAGCCCTGACTGGCATGGCTCAGTCGGTTGAGTGTTGTCCTGCAGAGTAAAGGGTGGCCGGTTCAACTCCCGGTCAGGGCACACACACGTCTGGGTTTCAGGCCAGTCCTTGGTTGGGGCACATGGGAGGCAACTGATTGATGTTTCTCTTTCACAATGATGTTTCTCTCCTCCTCTCTCTCCCTCCTTTCCACCCTCTCTAAAAGTAAATAAACAAAATACTTAAAAAAAGAAACCTAGCAGATGAGTCTGGAAAGTCTTGTAACCAAGATGGGTGTTCAGATGTCCGTAGGTCATAATCACCCAGCAACACCAGGGTGCGTGCAGCCTCCCAACAGGTTTGGGAAGGTCAGCTGGTTCATCCTGAACCACAGGCTGCTCAGACCCATTGCTCGGAAGAGTTTTTTTCCAGCGTGCTGCTTGGAGGTCAGTTTTCCCCAAAGCGTAGTATTTCTATTACCAGTTACTTCACCAATATGATTGGTTGGGATGAGTAAAAAGTTTAAAGCAACTTGACTTTAAAGAATGATAGGGGATCTACAGCATGGTAACATTTTTAACATTAAATTTGGTAACTACTGGGGCCATCGATGAAGGGACTTCTCAGACAGGAGGGCATGCCACTGGAAACCTTATGACTCCAATTCCACTTTCAGTTCTCATGCCTCCTCCTTAGAATCTTCCCAGGTGCCTGAAATCATTTATTTTTCTCTGTTTCTAAGTCCTTTGTGTACGTGTCCACAATGGCTTACTTCATTTTCGCTTGGTGGGTTGCCTCCCAGTTTGCCTTCCTTCCTAGTGCCAAGCTCTTCTGGAAAATCACCTTTGTATTCCCCACAGTGCTTGGCATATAAAGGTAAACTTTGAAGAATGAGGGACTACATGGGAGAATGAAAGCACTATCTCCAGCTGTTTCCTGATGATTAGAAAACTGTGAGGCAAGGCAAGCCATGAAAACTCCAGTTCCGGCACTATTCAAAGAGCCGGTTTGATTATTCAGGCCCAAGCAATCCATATTTTAGAATGGAGATAGATTTGTGACTATCCAAAAGAATCCATTCCTATTCACAAGAACTCTGACGGAGCAGCTTTATCCATGCAATACAGGAGCTGGCAGAGTAAGACTCTCTGTTTCTTTCGCCTGCCCAGCTCAGCCGATCCTAGTGGACTGGAAGTCTGTTTGTCTTTGGCTTATTTCCATCCCTTTCAAAGTTACCCAGTCCTCCATTTGGATTTCCATTCTTGCTCTCAGCCAGCAAGTTCCTTCCTTACTTATTAATATTTAATGGGCGATTCTCCCTTGAATCAACTCTATCTTTCAAGAGGACTGTGAGTAGTTAATGCAGTTAATTGAAAGGAGTGAAGCTATAATGGTGGAATTATGGAAGGGGGTGGAAAACCCCTTTAAAGACTTCATCATTTAGCCAACTGTCTCCTTTGCCTTGTTACAATACAACTTAAGTTCACTCTGGCAGCCAAACGGAACAATTGTAACCAAGTTCTGCCTGCCAGCCTGAGCTAGCCAGAAATGAAGTGCGCAGACTCTGAGTCAGACTGCTAGGTTCAAATCCCGGGTCGTTTACTTATTATTAGATATGTGACCTTTAAGCAAGTTATAAAACTCCACCTAATGAGGTGGCTTTATCTGTAAAACAGGGCTATGTTTTCTACTTTATCCAGATACTGTGGTCAGTGAAATAATCCACGTGAAGCACTTGGTGCAGGACCTGGCCCACAGCTGGTCTCCGGTAAATCTAGCCATTATTATTTCATTCTTGCCTCAGAATGTCCTAATTTCTTCATAGAGGCACAGATACTTGAAGTACAGCCATGTATTTTGTAGGCAGGACGTGTTACCCTGTGGCACAGAGAGAAACAAATAGGCTTTTGCTGGCTAAGTGATCATGCAGAACCTACTTGTTCCACCTGGTCTGTTTCACACCTGCAAAAGGGGGTTGGGCAGGCAGTGTTACAAACTCAAATGCCTATAGAGGTAAGATAGGTAAAAGCACTGGTGACCTGGGCTGGGTGTTATACATTAGGGGGTGGTGGGGAGTGTGGTTAGCTGTAGAGCTTTGCTGCTCAACATGCGGTGCCCTGACCAGCAGGACTGACAGAGCCTTGGAATTCGTTAGAAACAACAGAATCTCAGACCTAGTGAAATGAAATCAACATTTTAACAAGCTCCTTAAATGATTTGTATGCACATAAAAGTTTGAGAAGGCTGCCATGGAGCACAAGCCATCTGAAAGCATTCAAATGTAGCCCTGGCTAGTGTGGCTCAGGGCTGGGCGCCTGCCCTGGAACTGAAGGGTCAGCAGGTTGGATCCCGGTCACGGCACACGCCTGGGTGGCAGGCAGGCCAGGTCCCAGGCAGCAGTCCACATCGATGTTCCTCTCCTTCTCCCTGTCTTGCCCTTTTCCTAAAAAATACATTAAAAAAATTTTTTTTAGGGCATCTAAATTTAGTTTAGGGTTTTTTTTTGTTTTGTTTTATGTCAGCCAAAATAACAGACTTAGGGCTGCATCAGTTTAACCTCCCAGCAAATGATCATTGCAGTTCGTGGCTCTGAGATGCTGCCAGCCCTAGGCTTCTCTCTTTGAGATCTTTCCCTTGTAAGTTTCTCTCTCTGAGCATGTGGATAGGTAGCAGAGACCAAGCCTGGGTTGCTTAGGACAATAATTCCTGGAGTGGAAGATGCCTAAGAAGTTATCTATCTGCTCAACTCCTTGCCTACTTACTCCCTGCCTTCTAACAGGTAAACTGTTACTGCTCCTACTTTGTAGAGGAGACAAAGGAGGCTCAGGGAGACCCACTGACCCAAATCCAGGCACTAGGAAGTGGTGGTGTTGGTGGGTATACGCCATTAGGAAACAAACAGTCCTGTGTTGTTAGAATCAGCAACCATTAATAGACTTTCCAAGGCCTGGAAAGTCTATTAATTTCTTTATAATCTCCAATGCCTAATAATTGTTCTCAGTTTCTCTCGGCACCTCCCTGTCACTTCCTGGCAGCCCTGGGGACAGAAGGTTTCCTCCTTTTGCAGAGAGGGCCCTTAGCCGGCTTCTGAACGGATATCCGGCCCGCAGGATGCAGAGGAGGCAAAAGCCTCATTGTTCTTGGGGCCAGTCCACCCCACCCCCAGCCCAGTGGACACTCGTCGCAGACCCCCAGGGTGATCGAGGGCCCATTTCCCAGGAGTGGGGCCTTCAAAGGAAGCAAGACAGAATGTTCTGAGTCTGATGTTCTGAGCACACAGTAGAAAGGCTCTAGAGCCCCAACAGAAATGAGCCTGGAGTTTGAAAACGCATTTCCAACACCACCAGCTAGGCGTTGTTACTCATTAACATTCCCCACTGCCTACTCAAGTGATCGCATCTGCGTTTTTATTAATGTGAATGAGTTTGGTAGTAATGGGGTTCGTTGATTTGCGGGCTCCACGTGCTAGAAGGCAGTTTATTAGCCAAATGGGCCGCTTCCCACGCAGGGACCCCTAGAGTCCCGTTCTTGAGGGACCGGGCGGTCCCCAGCTCCGAGAAACGCCGTTCGCTCCGACTTGCTGCGGGACACCCCACTCCGCGTCCGCCGGGGGGCGCTCGGGCTGCGCGACAACCGATGTGGCCGCCAGTGGCGGGTCGCCACCGAGGCGCAGACCCCTTCGCGCCCTTGGAGGAAACAAAGTACACCTTTGTCGGCCTACGGGCCCGTGCGTGTGCGCGACGGCGCAGTTACTGGCCGCTGGGTGCGAGGCCCGCGGGCGCGCCTCGCTGCCTCTGGGCTGCAGTCCACGCGTGGGCCCGGCGTGGCCCAGAGGAAGGGGGTGCGGCTCGCGGCCCGGCCGACCTTCCTCCCATACCGAGTCTGTCCCAAGGTTAAGCCTGATCCGCACTGGCGCCTGCCGGGCCGCGACGCTTCTGGTGGCCTGTGGACTTCGCTTTCTCGGCTCTCGGCAAGGCGGGAAGCGTACGAGCCGGAGCGCGGGGTGTGGGCGTGCGAGTCCGAGCCCGGGATTGAGGGCTCCGGCTCAGCCGGGCTGCCTTCGATCCCCTCAGCGACCCTCGCAGCACCGCGCCCGCCCTCACACTCGGTGCGGGTCCTGGGGCGGGTCTTGGACTCCCGCAGCAGCGTACACCCAAGCCCAGGCGCGGAACGCAGCGAAGACTACAAGTCCCAGCAGGCCCCGCGCCGCGAGCGCCGAGACAGTAGGCGCGGCCCGGTGTGACGCTTGCGCAGTGCGGCCGCCCGAGCCTGCTAGTACCACACCCCCGGGAGGGACGGAGGGGAGGCAGAAGCATCCGAGGCATTAAAGCATCCGAGGGAGCCGGAGGGGAGGAGAATGGAGTGACAGAGAAACGCGGAGGGTGGGGGGTGGGGGGGAGACTGTTGAGGGAGGGGGGAGGGGGGACACAGAGGGAGGAAGACGCGGCGGCGGCGGCTCCTCTTTGCAGAGGGGGAAAACTCTGAAGGATAGGAGCAGGAATAATGCGGTAGGAAAGGCGGGATCCCGGCTCCCGGCTCCGGCAGCAGCGGCGTCAGTCCGAGCAGCGGCAGCAGCAGCGGCAGCACCCCCAGGCGCTGACAGCCCCGCCGGCCGGCTCCCTCGTTGACCGCCGACTGTCAATGGAGCTGGAAAACATCGTGGCCAACACGGTCTTGTTGAAAGCCAGGGAAGGTAAGAGGCAGGGCTGGTGCGTGCCTGGCTCCTTCGCCGCGAGCCAGGGTGCGGGTGTCGGGCGGCGTGTGGGCTGGGGCGTGTGTGTGCAGGATGCCCGCAGTGAGTTGGTCGCGTGCAGGACACCTCTGAGAGCTACTCTGCAAACCCTTCAGGGTTCCTGCCCTTGGGCTCACATAATCTGGACTTGGGTAGAGAAGGAGCAACATCGAGGTCGCAGGGGTTAGTAGGATGCTAAAATATTCCCTGATTTCCTACTTTAACCTCACAGACATCGCGGCAGCTGTTGAAAAGGGCAGTTGGAAAAGCATTCATTCAGGAAGAGAGGGGCAAACATGAAACATGCAAATAACGTAGCTTTTCGAGTCTGCCCGGGATGTTTCTATGAGTATGTGTGTGTGTGTGTGTGTGTGTGTGTGTGTGTGTTGCGGGGGGGGGGTGGAATTGGCAGAAGCCAAGTCTTTGCTTGCGCAGGCTGAGCTGATACAGGCTCTTGCTGGAAACCATCCGCTGGGAATGTTTCTTAGGGAAATCCCGTCGTGTGGAAGGAAGCCTTTTAAAGGCAAAGTAAGATGTTGAGGAATTAGTCTATTCATAGAATAACTAGAGGATGGCTGTACAAATCACCTAGAAAATAATTCAGGATTTCAGAGGTGGCTTTCTTTCTTTCTTTCTTTCTTTTTTTTTTTTGTGGGAGGGGGGCTGGGGGGCTGTAACTGAATTGTTTGATTTTTGGCTCAGTTAAGAAAAGAAATGTAAGTGTGCCGGTGCTTAAATGCGTTTTGGGTGCAAATCAGTACATTTCCTGCATTTAGCTGGCAGGAAGTGTCTAAATGGAGTGGGTAAGACCCTAAAGTCAAAGCTATAAACACATGTTTTGTAGCTTCCTAGAGATGGGTGGAAAAGTGGCCCAGAAACTCAGATGGTTCCTCAAATAATTGTGTGTCGGTAAACATACGTGTTTAAGGAACACCTGGAATTTATGTAACATCTCTTTTGCCAAGACTTGAGCTCTGGCGTGCAGCCTTTTTATTAAACGGGGAAGTGGTTTTTCCATGGGAGGAGGCTTCCTTTGACGCCCAAGGTAAGAAGGCAGCCTAAGCAAGGTCTTGACTTCAGAAGGATACTCGGGGAGCAGCCCACGAAAATGCCATACCTACTTCTTAATATTTTCATTCACCCACTTTGATGAATGGAGGAAGGATTTTTGGCCAGCAATAAAACGACTTATGTTTATCCAGCCGGTTCCATCACCCTGTGGCTCCATACACGCTGTGCGGGGTGGGTGATGCACAGCCCAGCAATTCTACCCGGCGTTCACGTCGTAATTTGGTCGTCACTTGTCTCTCTAAAGCAGCCTGCAGCAGCTGCCTGGAAGGTTTGCTTTGAAAACCCCAGAAGAGTTTAAAATATGCAGCTCTATTCCCCCCCCACCCCCCTCCCCATTGCTCAGCTTTGGTGTGAGAACAGATTTGGAGGAGAGGCTGCTACTTGGCAACTTCAGGTTCTAAGGCCTGATTTTTTTCTTTTTGCCTACTCGAAATTGTAGCGAGAGGGGCAAAGGTGGGGGCCAGTGGGCTCCCCTCTGTGATGGGCAGTTCATCCCGAAGGGGAAGAAGCCGGGCGGGGGGTGGGCTTGCGGGGACAGCCGGCCGGCTCCCCTTCGCGCCCCTGCTCTCGGTCTTTGCAGCCGCCACCTAGTGCTGGGATTTGGTTGTACATCTCAAGGCTCGGGGCTGGGAAAGTTTGTCTCCCTCCCTACATTCTGAAATTAATTCTTGGGAAATCACTGGATGGGATGACGCTGGAGGTTTTGTAAGTTTCCCTGGTTTCTCTCGTTGTCCGGGGACTTCTGCTCCCGCGATTCGCCGTTCCACACGCTCCTTTGCCTGGGGCGCGCTTTTTCCTTTCCTTCGCAATTGGTTGCTTCTTTTAAGATGTTTTGCTTGGAGTGGGCCAAGTGTTACCAATTTTTCTCCCTCAAATTGGTCTCCCTAGATTTTTTTTTTTCACTGAAATGAATTCACCGCCTGATATTTTGATTTGTTGGGTGAACCAAAACAGAAAAAAATCAGAACCTTAGGGAAGGAAGAGCCTGCCGGCTGGAGGTTTATGTGGAATGATGCAATTACAGTGATTAAAAGCACTCAGTAATGTGCCTTACACTTCCTTGTCGTTTTAGAGCCTTTCCAATTTCTCTTTGAGAGTTTGGCGGTCATCTCATGGTGAGAAAGTAGCTCTTGATGGTGCCTTTGACATGGAAAGTGTCTTTGCCTGGAAGGAAATGGAGAGACTGACACATGAATGAGAGAAATTAATCACTTACGCAGAAATTTCATTTTTTAATTTGCATTGCTCTCCTTCTTTCTCTCTTTTGTATAAGCAAAACCCATGATTTTAAGTGCTCCCATTCTCCTCTTGCTGTATCTGTATTTAAAATTTGAGCACATATTCTAATTAGTATGAAAGCTTATAGAAATAAAGGCAATTTATTTTTTCTTCTCAGTTCTCATATATTTAAAGTCATTCTTTTAAATTAAGTAATTCTGCAAATAATTCTACTATCCAGGAATGATAGTTCTAACTAGTTTAGTAAAATAGCCGGTGTATTTATAGTATCTTTTAAAAACCTGTGTTGTTTGAAATATGTAAAAACACTTCTTACTTGAAGATTCTTGTGAATGGTTACAGATAAGAAATATAGTTGGTGAATGTGAAATTTAATTTAGATCACTTAACAAAATATATTGTAAACAATCTGAAATGATGCTTTCAAGTAAAAGTCACATTTATTCCAAACAGTTGGGAAGCAGACCTTGAAGAAAGACAAACACACTTTGCAAATGCTGTGAAGGAATTTGTAGTGGTGTCCATGTTGGTGGATAATTTCGGGGCTTATCTTTTGTTTTTATTATGCATTCTGAAAGGCAGATGACTTTTAAATTCATTGTAAATTCAGATTCTTACCATAATAAAACATGTATAAAGTGGAAAACATGCATAGAGCAGTGAAATAGAAAAATATATAAGCATATTAGCGTAAAAATGATTCATTATTAGTAATGAGAAAACATAGCAAGCAAGTTGCACCTTTGTGATAGTTTTGAAATAAGAAAATGTTAAACCACCCAAATGTATTCTGTTTGTTTATCTTGGTCTCATGAGAAAACATCAATTTGTTCACTCTTAGGAACTTTAGATTACTCTCCTAAAAAGTAGTTAAAGAAAAAAAGAAAGAAGTTGGGGCTGAATTCATGCCAGCTTGTAGAGATGAGCTAAGTGATTAGGCTCAGACCAGCTCTGCCCACTTATTCACATTTCAGAGTCTCAGGAAACTGGCAAGCCAGCTGGTGTTGAAATAATAGTAGTGAGAGAGCATTTGCAGAGTGCCCTTGGTGTGTTTCTTTTGTTGTTGTTGCCGTGGAAGTTTTTGTGTTTTTCTCATAGTTTAGATTTGTGGCCTTGCTCTCGAGGGAACAGAGGTGGGGAGAAATTTTGCAGGGGCCCACCTTTCCTTTCCCCACAGGCCCGCAGTAGTCACAGCTGATCAATAAAGATGACTGAGGGAACATCGATCCCAGTTTCCTGAGCCTGATTCTAGCAGACACCGTGTACAGGGACGGAGCCCTCAGAAGCATAATGACTTTGCCATTGATCACAATTGCTGCAAACCAGAATATGCGAGAACCATTTCCTCAGATAACTGGATGACTTGTCGGCTTGGCTCTTCCTGGTGATTAAGATTGAGGACCTGAGCAGAGGTGGAGCTGAGGCTGGCAGAGGGTGGGGAGGGCTGGAGGAGAGAGGGAACCGCATCCAGCCTCTCTCCAGTGAGGGGCAGGCCTTACTTGGACAGAATTAGCATTCCACAGCAGGGCTGAAAGCCCAGGCCTCCCCCCTCCCTTTCCCTCACACCCCAAGTTCATGATGACGAACACAGCCCAATAACAGCGTTCCTCCCAGCACAGGCAGCTCAGGGTGGGTAGGGACTGCTTGGCCTGTGAAGTGCAGTGCCGTTAAATGCAACTGCCTTGTATTTGTTCTAAGTTTCTTTTCAATACTGACAAGTCAGAGGTAGAGAAAACAGTGTTTTCAGAAGGCCTTGCTCTCTTACAGAAAGATTTCAAGTGATGATTTTAATGAAGCTAGCTGCCTGTTATTACCAGCATCAGTTAAATGCCCACAAGACTCTCATCTTTCAAGAGCTTAACTGCCTCTTGTCAGATTTTTAACTCCAAAAAAGCTAGATTTTTGCAGTGCCAAAACTAATTCTTGTTTAAATTATGACTTCAGAAGCTGTCACTATTGTTGTGGCTTGCTAAATGATACCTTTAGGGTCTAGGCTGTGTACTTTCATAATGTCCAAGTGCATTTCAGGACAGAGTTCCACATGATACCAAATTCACCTTTACCAAGGGTGGCTCAACCCACCCCTGGGGACTTCCAGTGTCCTCAGGAAACCATCCAGGACTGCAGGCAGTATTTAAAGTGAATATTTGTTGCCAATACATTTGTGGCTTAAGGTAAAGTATTATAATATCTAAACATTTTTGAAATAAAAAAGTCCTGTGGTTACAGAAAGCTATCACTGCCATAGCTCATGCAACTCAGAGGTGAAAAGAACAGAAAGGTGACTAATAAGTAGGAGACACATAGAAAAGGAAACTAGGAATTACTTCAGTCTTACTGCTCTGAGCCCCACACCTGACATTGGATTAGAATAGTGGAGATGGGGGCTTTAAGATGTGATTTTTAAATGATTAACATGGGTTATATGGACTTAGATAATAGGAGTGACTTCTACTCTAAAACACATCCTGCTCTATTTCTGTGAAATATTTTAGTTAAGAACATCATAAATATTGAAGAGATTTTAATCAATAAATCAAGCTTGTTTACACTTTATCTTTTTTAGGGTAAAAACAGGTTGTTCCATGTAAAACACAGGGGGCAGGGGGAAGCCCTCCCTTTTGCTAAATCATTCTACTTTTCCAAGAGAC